CTGTCGGCGAGGGAGCGTGTTATCCTGCTCTTTATGTTGTGTGATGAAACAGGTAGGGATGTGGAACACATGAATACATCGCAAAGGTCGGGCGGCCACGGAATTGTTGTTGTTTGTCATTAACGCCGGTAGAGTTTGTTAGTTAAGCCTCGTCTGGGTCAAGAGGGTAGAAGGAACACGGATATACACTCAGCGAGGAGGCAATCAGTTGTGGAAAACACAGCCATGGTTGACTTGCAAGGTCGAAGCCGCCCATTTTCACAAGTGCTCCTGGGGCAGAAGCTTGGAGGAAAATGTGTTGCCGAATGATGATTATTATCGGCTGCAAACAGCCCGAGTGTGGCCAAAAAAAACTATTTTTCTAATAATAGTTTTTATCCTTTTCTGTTTTTTAATTGTTATTTAATTAGCTAATTAACAAGACGTGCTAAGTGGAACAAAAAAAGGGATAAATAGATGAAATATGCATGAGCTTTTTATCATATCGGTTGAAATCTATTGTAGCTAAATAGTTCTAAAGTTCTATCAAAAGTCATGACTTATTCATTCAAATGTTAAAATGTTCTCTGAGTTATGTGCAGACATCTGATATGTACGTGGCTCTCTACTACCACGGTGTCAGTGCACTCAAATGTATATATGCAGCAAAGGGCCACTAGTCACATGAATCGGGTGGCAGTTGTTGTCATAGAGGCAGTGGTAAAACTGAGAAAACTGAGCTCGGCTGTCATTTGAAAATATTGTAATATTGAGCTGACATTGATACTGTTCATTTGTATTTTGGTATTTGGAGAACTGCTCTTAACCGCATAGATGTCCAATAATTGTGCTAAGCTTACTGTCCTGATGTGATATTTGTTCTTTGTAAATGCCAAAAAGTATCTTTTGAAATTAGATGCAATGCCTCACCACTGTTGACTTGAGAATGTGTTACACAGATGCCAGAGGGACCTTTGCAATGCACAAACATGGATGCAAATTAATTCTCCAGATGCCCCTGTGAACAGGAATGCACCAAAAGATCAGACAGGCTTTTTGATTCTTCAACTGTATTTATTATGTTAGTTCCCCTCAGACAAAAGATAGAAATAGAGGATGTACTGGGAAAACTGGGAGCAAATCGAGTTTCAAGTTGAGAAGATAATGCATCGGAAACTAATCAAAATTAAAATGCAAAAAGAGTTGTACAGCTTACTGTGATAGGCCCCCATCCCCTTGGGACAAACACACACACAAGCTATTGGAAATCAATGACTTCCAGTATTTCCACTGGATGTTTCCAGTGATGATTCCCGCATGCGTGAGTGTGTGTTTGTGTATTCAGGCATTTCTTTTCTAATAGTGTTTGTACATCCTCAAGATGAGTTCAGCAATTGTAATCTCAGCAAAGAAAGGAAAAGCGCTATTTTTAATCCATCTTGCCGCAGTGAAAATGATCTTGACGGCTTTGTTTTTTTTTTACTTTTCCGTTGCCCTTTTCATTGCTTATCACTTCCTTGCACATTTTCAGCTTTTCCGTTTGTACGTTGTTTGGTCAATGAGAAACTAATTACTGTTATATTGTTTTTTTCCGGCTCGACTACTATGAAAGGCCATTTTCGCGGGTCAGATGTTGCCACTTTGTGTGATTGAAGACACGCGGTGCCTCTCTCTCAGGACATGACTGGAAGGTTCGCGGCTAGTCAGGTCTCTTTTGGCAGAAATTGTTCTCCTCATACCGTAACGCATGGCTGGCCTCGAGCCGCCGCCTCGGCACTCAGGGATGGCGCCAGTCTGACGAAGTGCAGCATCCCGAGATGCTGATGGAGGGAGAGTCGACTGCTGCCGGCCGGGTGAAGTGGTTCTACATGCAGAAGACCGGGGGGGCTCGCACGGAATTATAATGAGACGGTTGATATTTCTTTTTAATCCCCTCTCATTGGCTTGATTTAGTTGGGTTTGACTGGTACGTGTGGGACGTTCCAGGCGCTGCACCCAAGTAATTGCTCAAATAGAGTGTTCAGAGGATTTTCGTCAATGCAAAAGAAGATGTTTAAAAAAAAAAAGTTTTACAAAAGCAAGCAGTTGTCTATTGAAGGGTTTCTGCTCTCAAGTTAAATATGAACCAGTTTAAGAGACTGAATCTCTTGTGTGTTACATTCACACAGTAACTTAATGAGCGGGTGTTATTTTAGTGTATAATTCAGAGAGCTTCCCAGAGAGAGAAGGAGCCCCCCGAGCCGAGGCGTCCTGCTCGCGGCCCAACGGGGCTGCTGAGTCAGCGTCCCCCTTACTAGCTGTCCAGTCTCTCGGCCTTCGGCTCCGTGCCGCGCTGTGCAGCGAGCGTGAGGGTTCCTCTTAAGCTCTGACGAGCGCTGAAACCAACTCTCTATACAACACCTGCTAAGGCCCTCACAATTGCAGACAGCCAACGCCTGAACCCACACAGACACACCAAATTGACAACTCTTCATCCCTCCCGATGAACTCCGCGCACAGTTATTGACCTCCTCGCGGCCGCTTCCTCGCCCGTCTTAGTAATTGCATTTGTTTGATCCTGCACGGGCTTTTGTGTGAACAAAGAATCGGATGAGAAAAGGATGAGCGTCTTTGAAGCATGCCGTTTGGAAAAGGCCAGGCCACCTATCCTGCCCTGGGGTGACAGGACAGGACCCGAGAGGAGGTGTGTGAGTGTGTGTGTGTGATGTGAAGATCCTGTTTTAGTCAGCGAGGTGGGTGGAAAAAAAGTGAGCCAGTCAGCGAGTGGAAGATGGGGATGATGCACGGTGCAGACGACTCTATGAATGATGCATAGCTTTCTCTCCTCGTTTAACTCTTCCGGGCAATTTGATTATGCAGGTAAACACACAGGGCTGTATAAGTGAGGGACGGAATCGGATAGAGGGAGAGAGAGGCAGTCGGGATAAGAGGACGGGGGAAGCGGGTGTGTTACTTCCGATACATAAATAAATTGACTTGGTAAGAAGCCAACAGGGTTTTTGGTGTGTGTGAGTGAGTGTGTCTGTGCTCGCGATAAGCATGAGAGAAGAAAGGGTAGCTGAATTAAAAATGGAGCGATGAAAATAGGAGCGGCCCAGCAGGAAGCGTTTTTACTCTGAAAAGTTGCTGGTAGTTTTCCTCCTCCTCGTTTTCGCTGCTGTCAGCATGTTTATACTTCACCGCTCAGAAGGAACTGGAAGGGCTTTCATGTTGCCGATAAAGGGCGGCCTGCAAGCAGTGAAGAGACACTTGTGTGATCCACTGCTGGAAATGTGTCCTCAGCCCTTTGGCTTCTTCCGTCAGCATCATTACACACACACGCGAGCGTCCAACGTGAGAGTCGGTATCTGTCCGGCGTTACGTGTGTGAGAAAGCTGAGAAACTATAGTGTGTCTATGTGGGTTGTACCGCTCTCCCCTCCCGCCTCACGCGTTCGTGTGTGTGTGTGTGTGTGTGTGTGTGTTTGTCAGCAGTGGGCGACGTGTCCTCCTCTACGGCGCTCTGTAATAAAGCCATTAATCACGTCCAACGTTTTGGGACAAACGGGCCGCGCTGCGCTCGCTGCGGGACGTCTCACTCCCTCTCCGTCCCAGGACGCCACATCAGAGGTCGGTGCACTGGAGTGGAATGCCAAGCATCCCGGCGTGGTGTCGCCCGCGTGCACCACATATCTAGTGTGTCCATGTGGGGGGGTGAGGCTCGCCAACAGGGCCAAAATAAAAATGCAAAAGGTTTTTTCATATTACACACGATTTAAAATTGTTTAGCTTTTTTGCTTAAACCGTCGAAGCCTACAAAAGACATTACAAACATTATATCATACACCATTTAGAAAAGCAAGCAGATACACATAGGAGACCATGCAGTAATAATTGACTTGATTTCTCATTTCTTTAGCTGTGATGCACAGCATACTTATGCTAATACGTCCTGATTGCTCATTTAATTGCGCATTTGATTGACAAAAGATCGATTCAACTAAAATATATATCAATAATATATACATAATTAACCGGTTTGATTAATAATTTCTCACCAATACTAATAGTCGTTCTCTCGTTCTTTTTTTCCTTTTCTATTTCACAGGGCCGTCCTATTTTTTTGTATTTAACAGATTAACTGGCTAATCAAAAGAAAGTAATCAATAGATTTATTCACTAAAGTTGCCATATTTGAGAACGTCAGCATATGCTGCACACACACACACACACACACACACACACACACATTATTTCTCATTCACATGCAAGCTACTCAGTCAGTGTGAAAGGTAGCGGCGTCACATGTTGCGGTCGCCGTGTGGCGCGTCACGCTCGACTCCCCGAGCTAATTAATGTGTTCCTTTTTATCCATCAATCCCCTTTAGCTGACGTCAGCGGCTTTTCCACAGCTCCAATGGTGATGCATAAGCAATGAGAGACTTTCCATCATCTCACACGGTCCGTGGTCCACTGAGGAATCGTTCTTATTTGAAATCCCACTCTGACTTTTCTAGGCAGTAGCTGGAGGGGCGAGGTAATAAACGTTCTGAGGCCTCACCATGCGCCCGCATTATTCTAAAGCAATAGAAATGTAAAAGCTTTTGAGTGTCTTATTTATCTTTTTTTTCCCCATTCACTTACACGTGTGCACGGTATTGATTAAGGAGTGCTGTCTTTGCAGAATTTCTATGCGTTAATGGAACGCTCTTATCACAGCACTTTCCCTCTCCCCTCGTTTTCCCGCTACATCGCCGTGGCCGCTCTCAATCTGTGCGCGCCACTCTTGCTCTTCTGCTTCCGTCCGCACTTACTGTAAGGACCTTCTCACACCTCTGCACTCCAATCTCTCACACACACTCACACACAATGCACATAGAGACAATCCTCCTTAAATCGATCAACTCTCCAGGCTCTTCTGTCTGCTTTATTTCCTTTAAATCCTTCCCCTTTCTGATATTTCCTCTCCTCTCTTTTCTCTTCTATCTGCATCAACTCTATTTATTTTACCTTTTTTTTAACCTTTTTCTCTCCTCTCTCCAGACTTGGACTTTCGCTACTTCTGGAAGTGGAGCGCGTTCGAGGACTACCTGCTCTTCTGCTTCGGCTTCACCGTGCTCTGCGCCGTCGTCACCCTGCTGCTGCTGGACTCGCCCCTGTTCGTGGAGACGCTGGGCTCCGCCGCCGTGATGTTCGAGGCCATGCTGGGTCTCCCGCAGCTGCTGCAGAACTTCCACAACAGCTCCACCAAAGGCATGAGGTACGGCGGCTTTAAGGCGGAGCCAGTTGCATCAGTGCTCAATCACATGTCATGGAAAGTATTCTCATTAAGCTCAATCTGCAGAGAACGCACGTCATTTATGGTCTCCAGAAGCTTACAAGGTCGTTTATAATCAGTGAGTCAAGGTTTGGGTGAACCCAATTATCAACAGTTATCCGACAGTTATCGACCTAAATGCATTACCAATGACAAACAGTGACCCGGTGATTGGTTGCATACATTCCCTCCTTTCAGGAAGTTTAAAAAAAAAAAAATGTAATGAGAAATATTCTCGATGGTATTATTGCAAGTCACGAATCCAAAGAGGAAGGAGAATGTGAAGGAGGGGAACAAAAAAAAGGCTTAGCTTGCATTTTGAATTTCTTTCTTGTTAACATGATGTCACAGTGTACATTGATTTGGACTGTGAGATCAATTGCACCCATAATGGTACAGAAACCTGTAATAACATCATTACATTCTAATTGTTTCTCATCTGTCTTAAGTGCAAAAACCAGACATATACAGTGTCCGTGTGTGTGTGTGTAGTCGCGTGCTTCACTGGTCACCAATTCCTGGAAGTATATTTATATGTATAAAAAAAAACACGTTTTAGTTTTTCTCTCCAGGCCACAGCCCCTGCCATTTTATTTTACTTTACGTAGATATTCAGTAATTGTGGACTTATGTCAAATATAATTTCCTGTAGGTCAGATTTACTGTACAAACGGCGAGCTGTTCTTCCTCTGTTCTATGCTCCATTTCACATCACGTCCTCAGGGTGCACATCTGGGCTTGCACTCCCCGTGAACATCCATCCAACTCGATACCCCATCAAAGATTAAATATGCAATAACACTACATTAGGCCTCTGAAGGGACTGATGAAAATGCGAGGGGCATCACTTTGCTAAAGATTCCTGGTCTCCTACTCGATGACGTGATGATGTACTATGAACCACCAAAACAACAACACTTACTGGAATAAACTTTGAATTCTTTCCAGAAAATAACACACTTTCACCCTTTGTTGTTTTCTGCCCTCGCTATCAATCTCCCCGGCCTACTTGGACAAATGAGCCTGCGGGGGTTTGGAACCAGCGCATTCAGCACTTTTCGCTTTGCACATCACATGATTTAGGACTTTGGACTCTTGTTGCGTGTACTTAAGGACTGAGATGGCGAGTGCGTGGATCTGCTCACCAGCTGGTCTCATGATCAGCTTCTCCCACATGCATGTTGCGGCAGAGAGGGACACACACAGGCGTGTTCAGTCGTGCTCAGTGGGATTATGCTGCATGGGCACTAGTGACAATGTGCGCGTCTGTGTGTGTGTGTGTGTGTGTGCGCGCACACAATGTGCACATTCATACCACAACTCCAGGGAAACGTTGGAAGGGAGAGGATGGGGACGGGAAGATACCAGAACAGAGACAGTATTAGAGGCAAGAGTGATGAAGTAAACAGCAGAAGAGTAAATCTAAAGCGCCTCGATCCCTTACCCACGCTGTTTCATTTCTCATGTGAACCAGGCAAATTCAAATAGATATTAAATATTCCAAAGGTAAAGCACAATTAGATTTACTCAATTCAATCAGATATTGACAAATTATAAGCCTAATTAGCAATTTAGCAGCCGGGAAAGCATCCGTGTGTGTCTTAAAATATACTTGTGACTTTGTTTTGTGGGACAAATTGCATATTTCTGTTGTTCTTTTTCACATTAATTAATTAATTTATTCAACAGCAGCAGCAACACTGATGATAAAAATATATCTCCGGATTAAAGAAGATTGAACCACCAAGTATTTTGTTGTGTGTGTGAGCTTCACGTAGAAAATGAAGGCACATAACTGTCGCCAGTGGGTTAATGCGCTTTAGGCAGATCCACTCCAGTTTTGTGCCGAGCTGTTAACGATTCACTGCCATAATGGAAAATAATACAGTATATGGAAAGGATTGCATGTATGAATGTGTTTCCAAATGCATTCCAAAATTATGTGATGAAAATGAAATCTTTATTTGTTATTCCATGAATATGAATAACTTTAAATATATAAATGCATCAACACAGTACAAGAAAAGAAGCTCTGCCAAACAGAAATCCCTCCAAATCTCTACCACATACCGTAGAAACAAAAGTAAATGCAAGTCCTCAAAATCTCCGGGCTTATCTTGCCCCAGGAAAGTCAGGGGCAATGACTTTGATCGCGTTAACAATGGCCAAGCAAACGCTATTAAATGTCCTGCGCTTACGCAATGCGCGATGCAAGCAGCACGTGCACGGACGCTCTCACGCCATGAACACATATCAGAGAGACACAAAGACCGACGGATTAAATTCTAGTTGACCCTTTGGTGGTTAGAAGAAGACATTCACTTTTGTTGGTGATGGAAGTGTTTGGTTTGATACAATTGTATTTGAATCATAAATCTTTCTGCTGTTTCTGTTATTCTTCTTGCAATCAGCTAATTTTGCCTTCTCTTAAATGCACAAATAGTCACATAAATATTGGGAATACTCACCACATATAAACAAACCTACCTAGATTGCATTGGGAATTAAATTAAATTAAAGTTTTGGGGAATTTGATTATACTTAATATGTAAAAACATTGGATCTGCAGGTGTAGAAAAGACGTCTGTTGGTCATCGTTGCAGCACGTTGGACCATCTCTCTGTCTGTATAGAGGATGTGGCGCCGGCGTCTGGTTAGTAGTTTAGCTGGAAATAATAATCCCACGTTTCAAACATAAGTGCTGAATTTGAATCGGGGGCGTCCCATCATTGATATGAATCATCAACATTCACAGCGTGTTCCCGTGTTTTTTCAGTTTGTTTGCTGTTAAGCAACATGGAGGAACATTTGTCTATTTGACGTGGACACAGAGATGTGTTCTTTAATCGCGTCACTTTCCACCCATTGATGCCATATAAACATCTCTGAGTAAAATGTACCACATATGCAGCCGGTGTCCTGACCCACACCTCGCAGATATGCTCCCGTTTGGGACGCACAACCCAGGTCCACAGGTCACAACCGGGAGAAACAATTATCCATCTGTGTGAGGAAAACGCAAATCCAGATTGCTTTAACGTCTCACAATTGACTGCCCTGAGCTCGACCGGTCGCTTCCTGCCTCGAATAGTTTGACAAAGTTGTCTTCATGCTTAGAGGCCATTACAGTTTCTGCATGCAATGTGAAGCCACCATCTCGGGGTCCCGGTAAGACGAACGCTTGAAGGGTGTCACTCAGAACCGAGCGCAAGAAACAAGCTGCTCTCTGGGATGCTGTGAGAGTGACAGATAGACAGAGAAGGCGGCGAGAGCTGAATGTGCAGCTGTACCCAGTAATACGACAGGTGTTCTGTGCTCTTCATCCACTGGACATCCATCTCATTCATGACAATAATGTGCAGTGAATTGAATTGAGAGACTCTAGACGCAAAGATGCAGAGATACATATATCCGCTGTCGCGGAGTGGCAGTGTGAAGGTTGGCAGCTTTGGGGCGGAACTGTGAGAGGGGAAAGGATGTGAAATAGATAAAGGGTTAATGAGAGGGAAGAGGAAAAACAGGCGCACTCCCCAGGCCGCCGAGCTCAGAGTGCGGAGCAATCACTCACGCACAACGACGCCTTGTTGTTGTTTGTGGTATCGGGGCGAACAGGTGAGGTGCAGAACTCAGCAAGGTGGTCAGGTGTCTCTGTGATTTAGTGTCTAATGAAGAACTAGAAAGGAAAGGATGTGAGGAAATAGAACACAATAGTGGAAATGACCTGCTTTGATTTGATGTATCTATGAGCAATAAAATAGTCTGAATTCTTTAACAATGCGTATAATCTGACAAATTTGTGAAGCAATTGTTTTGGACAGAGCTCTTCCTCATCATGCAAAGACAGCGGCACTATTTAAATATTAAGAGCCATCATCAGGATTATCTTATAAACCTCCCAAACATGTATGATTACACATTACAATGTGAGCTCATACTGTGAGTAATTGGACTAGAGGCTTCTTCTTCCTTGACTCTATTCACCAGGGCATTCATGTTTAATCACTCATTAAATTAAAAACAATTCTAAATTGTTTGATTACTCCATTCAATTACGTTTGATCAATTTAACACATATTGCAAACTTTGTCGTTTAGGGCTCTGCTTAAAATGTGCCTGTCAGCAATTTAAAATGTGTCATACGTCTGTGAATGTCCAATTGGTAAATTTGAGTTTAGCGTAGCATTCCAGAATGGGCTACAATGTTATTATGTGACCATTTTCTAAAGGCAAATCAAAAAAAGCCGACGTGTCTCATTGTGACTTGTTTACATCCTCCGAAATCATCATCATTGAGCAAACTCTGTCTCATGCTCCCTCCTCTCCTCGCCTCCCCGTGGCTTCGTTAGGTGAAGTAGAATCTCTCCGTGGGGCAGGTTGGGAACTTTCCCTTGTTTGCCTGCGTGCGATCGATCAACATGCATTATTCATAGTTAGTGGGTTAAGAGCAGCTCGGCTTCTTTTCCGTTGGGCCCTTTGATTTTCGTCTTTCTATCTGCCCCCCCCCCACACACACACCTCCCCCCTCCTCAGGCAGAGCTGCAGCCCTGCTGATAAATCACCTCACACACCCCCTCATGTGTGGGCCCGCATGTGAATACAGAGATACGCTCGCACGGACACAAACACACACATTGTGTGAATGTAAACAGGCTGGAAGAGAGATGGAAGTGTAGCTCTTGTAAACGTCATCCTTTGCAACTCCAGTGTGTCTCCTTCCATGGAATTGTGTATCAGTGCAACTAAACAAATACATGGACTCTGTAATAGTCCCACATCACCTTTCCACTTAAAGGGTTATTCCTGCACTGGTTCTACTTTGTGATCTTTCTTTACTTCACGCGGTCGTGGAAGAATGTCTCAAATGACTTTTGGTCACAACATGTTTTCAGTCAGGAAAAACTCACCATAAAATGCAGATTAATCTGCCATTTGAAAAGCTCCAG